TTTGAAACATTGTCTAGCCTGTAGGGTAAAAAAAAAAGAAGAACCAATTAAACGAATCGAAGTGTATTCTTCAGTATCAAAAATAATCAAATCGTTGGGTCAGGAAATCGATACTGAATCGAATCTCCATGATGGGTGTGATTCACACCCCTCCTTTATAGAGCAGCCCAAAAAAGCCTTGTTCTTGTTTAGAAAACATGCAAATTTAAACAGATGAAACAATTACATGTGAATCAATTGCTTTGTTTTTGTTCCACTCTATAAAGCCTCGAACATTTTGAATAGAAAGTTTCCTGGATCGTCCAGTCGATGTTTTTTTTTTTTTGGAACGACAATGACCTGGATGAATGAGAATCTTCACCAACACATGTGGGAATGATCTGCTGATTCATCAGCTTTGATTCTGTTAGAAGGAACACGTCCCTTTAAGGACAAACATGGATCTTAAGCTCCTCGGCTCAGATTGATGCACTTTTCCTCGACCTAAACAGGAACATTTCCACCTGAAACTGCTGCTTCCATCATTTTATGTTAATGGATGAAGATAAACGTGAATCAGGTTTATTGTTTAAGATTGAATAATAAAGGTTCAAAACCTGAGTGAAGTTGCCCCCCCACTTTCTTCAAATCAGACAAAATTAGTGTCAAACGTTTGTGCAGCAAAAATTTTCGTTTGTGCTGCAAATCAGACGAAATGGGTGTCAATTAACTTAGCTCCGTTTGTGCTGCTAAAACAGACTGACCTTTGATGACCTCTACAAAATATTATTAATATCATTGAAATGATAGGAGTACAAATTTAAACATTTTGCCATACAAAAATATAAAATTTTAGAATTAATTTTAAATATAAAATATTTTAAATATGTATATTAAAAATTTAAAAATGCATATTTTAAAATCTATAAATTTTTTGTACTGTTATCATTTTAATGATATTAATAATTGTTTGTAGAAGCCATCAAAGGTCAGTGAACATTTGTTCATTATGAAACTCTGAATTTCATGTAAATTATAAGTTGCTAACCTATGATTATATATTTTTTACTGTAAAAAAATTATAGCGGCACAAACGAAAATTTGTGCTGCACAAACGTTTGACACCAATTTTGTCTGATTTGAAGAAGGTGGGGGGGCTGGTTGACCTTTGATGACCTCTAGAAATATTTCTTTATATCTTTAAAATGATAGCAGCACAAACAAATTTTTGCTGCACAAACGTTTGACACTAATTTTGTGTGATTTGAAGGAGGTGGGGGGGGCAACTTCACTCAGGTAGGTTACAACTCATCATGTTTGATTCTCCTATAGATTCAAATATTAGCCCCTTTTCCCCATTTTATGCGGTAGGTTTTAGTATTTTATAGCTTGTTAAAGTGGTTGAGAAAACGTAAATTTTTCTAAAGCATAACGATGCGCTCAGGCATAAAACGCCATGGCCATGGAACGTTAGGAAAAGAAGATTTACGATTCCTGACCGAGCAGCAGATCTTTCAATTCATCTAAATTAGTGGTGGGCATAGATACAGTTTTTTAATCCAGATTAATGTCACTGTAATCTTGGAATTAATCTAAATTTATCTAGATTAAAATTGCTCCTTTGAATTCTTCCAAAGGTATTCATTTTATGTGTGCTTCCTCCACAATTCAAAAGAAAATATTTACTTTTTTATGTTTGCAAAATCACATTTAATTTTGTCTTCTTAAGATCTTGAAAAAGTTACAAATACTTTTTTTTTTTTGCTAATTTGTTACCGTCTTATTCCTGAAAAAATAGCGTGTTCCACTTCCAATTATAGATTGTCCCACTTTAACAATATAGTGTCTCCAAAAATCTGACACACGTCGCCTCGAACAACTTCTAATCTTTCGCCTCTTTCTCCGCGGCGTGCTGGTCATGTATTCTCTTCATGATAGTTCACCTCGCAGGTAGTTTGTAAGATGGGTCACCTGTCGCCGCCTGGAGAACGAGCAGCTTGTGGCGATCCACTGAGCGAGGCGATGGGTTAGCTTGGCTGATGGAGATGTGCTTATAGCTGCATCCAGGTCAGCACGTCACGTTCCATGCGGTAATTTCACAAAACATCAACGCAGGTAAGAAGACGAATTCGTTTTCGCCCCCAGATATACTCCCACGCTCAACTAAAAGAATCAATCCGATTAATCGATTATTGAAATAATCTAATTAGGTTATTGATTAATCCCCGTAATTGACATTTATGCACTATTTTTGCACGCCACGTATCACTTTATTTGGACTTAGTTTTTACATATGCATAGATATACGTACAGATATATATACAGAAGAGCTATATGTGTATATATTTGATCTCTTTTTATTCTTATTTTTTATCTTTATTATATAGTGTAGTTGGATGTGTGTATATATTATATTAAACTGTAACTGGAGCATGTAATGAAAGTAATTTCCCTCTGGGATTATTAAAGTATTTCTGATTCTGATCTGATTAATGATTGACAGGAGGAGAGACTCTCAAATGTTCCTTTAGCTGACAGAGAGACTCATCTAGCAAAACGTATGAAAATAAAATCTATAAACATTTTCAGTTACGATAAAAAAAACATGTTTTCATCTGTTAATCTGCTCTATCAGAACTNATATAAAATATTTTAAATATGTATATTAAAAATTTAAAAATGCATATTTTAAAATCTATAAATTTTTTGTACTGTTATCATTTTAATGATATTAATAATTGTTTGTAGAAGCCATCAAAGGTCAGTGAACATTTGTTCATTATGAAACTCTGAATTTCATGTAAATTATAAGTTGCTAACCTATGATTATATATTTTTTACTGTAAAAAAATTATAGCGGCACAAACGAAAATTTGTGCTGCACAAACGTTTGACACCAATTTTGTCTGATTTGAAGAAGGTGGGGGGGCTGGTTGACCTTTGATGACCTCTAGAAATATTTCTTTATATCTTTAAAATGATAGCAGCACAAACAAATTTTTGCTGCACAAACGTTTGACACTAATTTTGTGTGATTTGAAGGAGGTGGGGGGGGCAACTTCACTCAGGTAGGTTACAACTCATCATGTTTGATTCTCCTATAGATTCAAATATTAGCCCCTTTTCCCCATTTTATGCGGTAGGTTTTAGTATTTTATAGCTTGTTAAAGTGGTTGAGAAAACGTAAATTTTTCTAAAGCATAACGATGCGCTCAGGCATAAAACGCCATGGCCATGGAACGTTAGGAAAAGAAGATTTACGATTCCTGACCGAGCAGCAGATCTTTCAATTCATCTAAATTAGTGGTGGGCATAGATACAGTTTTTTAATCCAGATTAATGTCACTGTAATCTTGGAATTAATCTAAATTTATCTAGATTAAAATTGCTCCTTTGAATTCTTCCAAAGGTATTCATTTTATGTGTGCTTCCTCCACAATTCAAAAGAAAATATTTACTTTTTTATGTTTGCAAAATCACATTTAATTTTGTCTTCTTAAGATCTTGAAAAAGTTACAAATACTTTTTTTTTTTTGCTAATTTGTTACCGTCTTATTCCTGAAAAAATAGCGTGTTCCACTTCCAATTATAGATTGTCCCACTTTAACAATATAGTGTCTCCAAAAATCTGACACACGTCGCCTCGAACAACTTCTAATCTTTCGCCTCTTTCTCCGCGGCGTGCTGGTCATGTATTCTCTTCATGATAGTTCACCTCGCAGGTAGTTTGTAAGATGGGTCACCTGTCGCCGCCTGGAGAACGAGCAGCTTGTGGCGATCCACTGAGCGAGGCGATGGGTTAGCTTGGCTGATGGAGATGTGCTTATAGCTGCATCCAGGTCAGCACGTCACGTTCCATGCGGTAATTTCACAAAACATCAACGCAGGTAAGAAGACGAATTCGTTTTCGCCCCCAGATATACTCCCACGCTCAACTAAAAGAATCAATCCGATTAATCGATTATTGAAATAATCTAATTAGGTTATTGATTAATCCCCGTAATTGACATTTATGCACTATTTTTGCACGCCACGTATCACTTTATTTGGACTTAGTTTTTACATATGCATAGATATACGTACAGATATATATACAGAAGAGCTATATGTGTATATATTTGATCTCTTTTTATTCTTATTTTTTATCTTTATTATATAGTGTAGTTGGATGTGTGTATATATTATATTAAACTGTAACTGGAGCATGTAATGAAAGTAATTTCCCTCTGGGATTATTAAAGTATTTCTGATTCTGATCTGATTAATGATTGACTGGAGGAGAGACTCTCAAATGTTCCTTTAGCTGACAGAGAGACTCATCTAGCAAAACGTATAAAAATAAAATCTATAAACATTTTCAGTTACGATAAAAAAAACATGTTTTCATCTGTTAATCTGCTCTATCAGAACTCCTCAGGAGGAAAAGTTTCACCTGGTTTAATTTTGTAAAAAAGTCTCCTTTAAAGAACCTTTGACGATCTGATTATTAATCGATTCATCAAAAAAAAAAAAATAACCAACAGATTAATGGAATTGTAAAATAATTGTTAGTTGCAGCTCTAATCCGGTTAGAACCCGTTTTATCAGGAGGTGAATCTGCCTGCAGATTTACAGGAGAACCATACAATATAAAAGTTCCTGCTCTGGATTTTAGGATGAATGAAAACAGGCGTTACTTTTTTAAAGGGGTGCAATAAATTGATGGAAATGAACGCACTAGTCATCCATTCCACTGGCCTCTACTGTCACCACAATGACTCTGCGTTCAGGAACCCCCTGCTGTTCTTTAGATCCTCCTGAACCTACCGATGGTTTCCAGCGGCTGCCCCGTGTGCTTAGCGTAGATGTTGTTGATCTGTCTCTTCAGCTTGAGGATCTCCTCGGCCTGGATGGCGATGTCTGTGGCCTGGCCCTGGAGACACGCCCCCTTAGCGGTCAGGTGGTTCATTTGATGCGTTAATGCCGTAAACTGCTAGGAGGCCCGCTTACCCTGGCCCCGCCTGAAGGCTGGTGCACCATGATGCGGGCGTTGGGCAGCGAATGCCTCATGCCACTCGTACCCGCTGCCAGGAGCAGGCTGCCCATGCTGGCTGCCTGGCCCACACACCAGGTGGAGATGGGGTTCAGGATGTACTGCATAGTGTCATAAATGGCCAGCCCTGAGGTCACAACGCCGCCTGGAGAGAAGAGAAGCACAACAAAGGGTTACAGCCAGGATTCCCCAGCCAGAAACAAAACCAATGACGCCACCTGGGCTTCTGCTAGCGTCAGGTTTCTTACCAGGACTGTTGATGTACATGTGTATGGGCTTGTTGTTGCTTTCTGACTGCAGGAAGAGCAGCTGGGCGATAACCAGACTGGCTACGTTGTCGTCAATCTGAGCTCATTGGAAACACAGAGAAACTGGATGAGGACTTCTTCTCCTGAAAACATCTCAGCATCATGAAGAACGTCGTTAACACTCACCGGACCCATAACACAAATGATTCTCTCCCTCAGGAGGCGAGAGTAGATGTCGTACGCCCGTTCTCCTCTCCCCTGGAAAACACAGCTGGGTTAGAGCGGCTCTTATCACTGCAGCACGGTAGAGGCAGACCAGCAAATGGGCCAATATTTGGGCCAATATTCAAGGGTTATTTCTTCATATAAGCATCGACTAATAGCTTCAATTATTGGATTCAGCCTTCTGCTCCCTGCATCTGCTTCCATTAAGGAGAAAGCAGGAGTCCAGATCAGAGATGTAAACTAATAATCCATCCGGAATAAACTGCTAATTAATAGTTTAATAGATTAAAATGTAAACAATGGAGGATTTTCTTTCAATGCTGTCATGTTCCTGTTGTCCAGAAGATGGACAACATGCTGTTCATTCTTAGATTGAGTATTAAAGGTACTGGTAAGAGTATGAACAGCAGAACCATAAATGGATCCAGATTATAAAACATATGTTTCATAACAGAACAGAGAATACGCCTTATCTCATAAAAATGTCTAGTTTATTAACCTACAAGAAAAACTTTTGTTTATTCAGTCAGCATGTAATACAGCTGGAACAACAGATCAAAACAAATCAATCAAACAGTTTTGGTAGCTCTAACAAGCTAACAAACTAAACTAACTGCTATAGGCTTAGACTGCTGGAGGACATGGGGACCACTTTTCCTCATTCCGATTCCTCTCTGTTCTCCCACTCTGCAGAATCTGTTAGTTCATCTCTAACGTTCTGCTCCCTCTGCTTTTTCTCATACTAGCTTCATCTGCTCCCCCTGTGTTTTGACTTTATATCTGCCATTGTTTTTATCTTTTATACGCTGACCTCTAGTGTCCAGAAAGGCACCTTTTAAATAAGAGGTATAATTATTATAATTATTGTCCTTTTATGGTTGTGACTCCATCCTGGAGAGAAATATCAGCTGTGCTGCTGCCATCAACACCTTTGTTTATAGATGTTGGAGCTTGGCCTGTTTTTCAGTGTAGTCCTGTTTCTCTGACCGTGACTAATGTCTTTCCTCCTCTGACATGGGAGCTAATTGATAGTTGCATTCTGCTTCTTTTTCTGTCTGCTTCCTCAGCAGATGGCCGCTCACACTGAGCCTGGTTCTGCTGGAGGTTTCTTCCTGTTAAAAGGGAGTTTTCCTCCCCACTGTCGCTACAAACATTCTTGTTGTGAGGGATTGCTGAAATCAATCAGCTGAGTGTCTTTAGATAGAAAACCAATCTGACTGGGATCAAAGGGTCGAGATACGGGATATATTACAAGTAATTTAAGAACGTTTCCCTGTTGGAGGCAACAGTAGTAGATCAGTGAGCTTTAATCGACTGTTTTGTTCATTAATGTTTCTCTTTTGTTTATAGAGACGCGTTAAACATTATCACCTTGTTATTTTTATGGTGTAAACGGAGAAAAAAAAAAACTATTGGTTACACACGTCGGGAATCAGTTAGACTAATGTCCAAATATTCAACACGGCTTTTAAAAACCTGTTTCAGTCGATCTGAAGAACATCATACAATAAACAACATCCTGTAAATTCAGTGAATAAATATATTACAGTTAAACATAAAACTTCAGCAAAGCCCAGAACCCAAACAACTGCGACCCGAACACTGAAATCAACCCCTTCACATGTTCCAGCTTTGATGGCGCTGCTCTGTGGCGCAGCCCATCGCTAAGGCTAACATGCAGTGCATTATGGGTAATCCTCTGAAGGATGGTGGGGGCTGAGGGGCCACTTACCGTCTGCTCCACCACTATAGGTATGAGGGGACTCCTGCATGCAGGACTGTGGTGGATGGTTCTGCCGTGCCTCAGAGTTAAAGCCCCGACGCTCAGTAAACTCTGACAGAAAGGAAAGAGAGGTTTTCATGTTAGTTAGCCCAGAAAGATTCAGGAGAATATCAGCATCTAACGCCTCTCTCTATAATAAACCCTCATCAAGGCAGTCATATTAATCCTGGAGATTAAAGACGGGACTTTGACTAACTTTAATATTCCAATCAGAACAAACCAGTAATAAGAAAATAAAAATAAGGTGCTCTAAACTAAAGATACACCGATTCGATACTCATTTCAATAATATCATACAAGGCAGTAAAGTTACAGCAACTTAGTTACATCAATTTGAAGTCTGCAACACCGCTGACATCATCAGTCTGACATCATCACACAGAGCAATTTCTTTCTTTTCTATCTAATCTCTGCCTTCACTGAAATGCTAAAGTATACGCTTCATTTGATCAACAGAAGTACCGGCCGATACGCCCAGTCCAGGTATGGATATAAGACTGGATCAGTAAAAACTGGATCAGTGCATTTCTGCTTCAAACTGGAGTCTGAACCAGTGTCTCTGGATTCAGCTACAGGAGTCATCCATTAGGTCAAACCGCTGAGGTCACGGCCTTCGGCTTTTTGCTGTCGTTATATTTCAATCTGTTTCAGGTAAGAGCCAGCGGTACAGTCTATATCCTGGATTCTTTTATTATTTCAGTAAGAACATCCAGTGTTACGAACAATGAGGAAAAATAGAGATGTCAAAACTCCTGGTAAAATATTCTGTTCTAATATTATTTGTCTACAAAAAGTCTCATTCATCCATCTTTTGATCCATAAAACATTCTTTAAAAACTTCAATGGGCTTCGCTGTAATTATAGGTAAAAGTGTTTTTCATCACATGGAGGAGAGAAAACATGTTGGTGGAGACCTGGATGATATGCACAAAACCAAACATTTACAATATAATCTAAATACTGATAATAAAATATTAAAAGCCTCACAAAGAATGCTAAGAACACCCGCAAAAGATGCCTGCAGAAACCTAGATTACTTTATAAATCCACACATTACAGAAATATTTATTTTTGATATCATCAAGGAAAATATCGATGTTTTAATCGGCGGGGATTTACCACAAGGCAATATTGGGCAGTTGCCAGGGGCCCCAGGTTCATGGGGGCCACATTAAACTGTTTACATGTTTGGTTAATACAACTAGTCCTTATGTCTGCAAATTAAGTAGGTTTTTGATTTAAAAAAAATCCCCACCCCCTCCAGCGTCCACCATATTGGATCAGTCCATTTGCTGCACATGTTCAGAAAGGTCCAAACAGACAGCAGCAAAC